TTTATTTTGTTGTAATGTTATCTTGCTTTATAATTGTTGGGCAATTCTTATTTGGATGTTCTTAAACTTTGGGTCCTAAGCTATGGAGTTGATTTAACAATCACAGAAAACATTTTATACTCACTTAAAAGAAAAAAATGTATCACTAATCTTACATAATTTGAGTATCTAAAGAGTTTCATCTACATAAGTTTAAGTAAAGAGAAATTAACCTTGCATTTATAAAATATTAAAGTGACTTATAGCATAATAAAGATTTTTACCAAGCTGGAAAAAAAGTCTGAAACTCCAGGGAGTTTTAAAAATCTGCCCACATAACAGTTACCTTGAGGATTCATTTAAATACTCATTAGTATTAAACCTTGCATTATAAATATCTAAATTTAGCAGGAAAAGATGAGTGTAGGAACTTCTGGTTAAACCTATTAATTTTTTTTTTAATCTGGGAATTTAAAGAAAGGCTTGAGAGTAGGTATATTTTTAGGACATGTTTTATTTATTACTGTCTTCCATGTCTAGCATAGTGCCTGGTATCCTATCTAATAAAGAGAGAATATGCTAATTGACCCTCATGCCATCACAAAGATGGCAGCACCCACAGCCAATAAGGAGGGAATATGCTAACTGACTACTCCTCCCTCAAATATGGTGGCACCCACAGTCACAAGACAGCAGTGCTCAGTCCCCTCAGCCCCCCAGCTGCCCAGGGCCACCCAAAACACAAGACACAGATGACGGCTGCCCTGCTGCCTGAGGCTCAGGTAACCAGGACAGGGCCTAGGCTTGCACTGTCTTGCCAGCAATAGCAGCAGAGGTGTGATGGGGGCATCACCTTCCCCTGATCGCCAGGTCACCTCCCACCCCTGAGGGTTCCCAGACTGTGAGAGGGGGCAGGCAAGGCTCAGGGATCTCCCTCCAGTGCATGAATTTTCATGCACCGGGCCTCTAGTATAATAGATTATAAATATTTGCTAAAAGAATGAGAACTACATTTTTAAGTGTAGGCCATGAATATGGTTCTGGGTGATGCCCCAGGGTTTTTGAACTCACACTCAATTAATCAAACATTGCCTCTAGATGCACAATAAAAGGTGCTTTGTACCTGCAGAGTTTCAGAACCTGACAGACAAGAAGGTTGTGTACATGATTTTAACAGTCACTAAACCAGCTTGTGTCCTGGTTTGTCCTTGTTGTAGCTGTTTTTTGTTTTGTTTTATTTTATTTATTTATTTTTTTTAGCAGCCAGATCTGCTTGGCATGGTAATATGCTAATATCTGAGTGCTATTTTAGGAAAGTTCCCAGTCAGGTAATTCATCAGAGGAACTAAACCTCACAAAAAAAAAAAAAAAAAAAAAAAAAAAAAGTAGCATGAGTAGGAAGGAAGAAAGGTTGGGACCAAAAGAATGGGGTTCCGTAGAGAAATATATATGTAAAACTTCCCTTTTCTTCCAACTCTTTTTCAGTGTTCTTCTACCTCCATTCCATTCCATCTCCCTCTCCTCTAACTCTCCTTTATAAAAAATAAAAAATAAATAAAAAGAAAGAAAAGAAAAAAACACCTTTACTTAGCCCTGACCTGTGTGGCTCAGTTGGTTGGGCGTCATCCTGTGCACCAAAAGATTGCCACTTTGATTCAGTCAGAGCACATGCTTGTGTTGAGTGCAGTAGGCAGCCAATTGATGTTAAGCTCACATCTATGTTTCTCTTTCTATCCCTCTCCCTTCCCCCCCCCCTTTAAAAATCAATAATATAAAATGACTAAAAGTTGCCTTTTCTTAGGCATAACTCAGATTCCAAAGCAAGCTGCTGGCTTATTTAGGACATCCAATGTTCTGGGGTAGGAAGATTTTTAATTAAAGAATACTAACTTATATTGAGTTTTATTTGATCTATGTAACTGACTTAAGAAAATCAGGTAAGGGCTAGCTAATACCACAGAAAAATAACTTAATCTACACAAATCTTTCATGCCAAGATCTATGATCCTCTTCCCGTGCAAATAAAGGCTTCTCCATGGAATACTTGGAGATCATTCTTTCCAACCAGTCTCACTTCTAATAAGATGACTGTTATGAGATGGCAACATTTATAAAAGACAGTTGAGAAGAGAATGATGTTGAAAAACTTTCCCAAGTTCCCTTTAAGTATTTGTGAGTGATTATCAGAATACTGAAATTCCAAGATCACACTTGTAAATTGATTTTACTAACTTTCTACTTTGAAAAAGAAAGTAAGACAACTTGCAGTGAAAACTTAAGTGCAAGTAAGCCAAAATATTTAACACAATTCAGAAACAGGGAACAAAAGTTAGAGAAATGAGAGGACAAAGGATTCTTAAATTCTGTTGAGGAAAAGGAGCACAAAATTTAGTGGGGAATTTCTTATTTACCAGAGACCAAAGAAAATAATACAATGGGATCATATCTCTCAATTTTGAGCTAAAGAGAACATACCAGTTCTTCAGCAACAATAAATAGTTAAGACCAAAAAAGGGAGAAAAGAAGGGAGGAAGTAAGAAGTAAAGGCTCAGAAGTGAAATGTCTATTGAACATTTACAATACATAAAATTTACACACATTATTGCATTTAATTGTGAGCATAACTCTGTCAAGTAAATATTAATTTTATAGTAGGAAAAACCAATATCACAAATAGTAAGTGATGAAATTGGAACTTCATGTATCTGATTCTATAGCTCATAAAACACACTCGGAGAAATGAATATCCCCTACCTCTATCTCATCTGCACCTTCCAAATCAAAGCATGGGTGTATATGTATTCATGTACATAATTGTTTCTTCTATACCCAAGCTATATTCAGAAAGTATAACAGAAATTTCATGAAAATGCCAGAAATAGCAGCTACAGGTTCAGCATTCTCATTTCAACTACTATAATGGTAGTAATATCTCCCCTATTTACATGAAATATAAAACGCCTTGTTGTACTTTATTATAGCCAAATATTAAGAGGAAAATAGGCATATCTAATTTGTTACTTGCTGTACTGCTCTTTACAGTTTTATCTGTATGGGGGCATCTAAGAGTATGCCGAGGTCTCAACTTCAGGGAGGAAAGTAGTAACATCATATGCAGAGGCCAGTGAACTGGGTTGTTTTTTTGTTTGTTTTTTTGTGTTTTTTTTTCCTACTACAACACTCCCCAATAAAGTGGCCCATTTCAGAAAACAGTGTCTGAACCTATCTTCATTCCAGTCTAGCATCACTTGCCAAGGAATCCAATGTAATAGTTTCAACAGGTAGAGGGGATCGGCGACCTAGAAGGTTGAGAGGAGCTGGGCTGTTGGGTCCCAGTGGGAAAAGAGCCTCCAGCTCCAAAGGCAGGAATGGGCAAAAACTAGGCAAGTTCCATATAGAAATCCAAGTAGGAAACCTGTCAGGAGTCTACGTATGTAGACGAAGCCTGAAAGCTATAGGTAAGGGAAGCGGTTTCAAATGAAGAAGGCTCCGTTCTTTTTGGGTCTGAGCCAGGTAACACGGAAATTTCAGCATAAAAGACTGAGTTCCTACAGCTGTGCAGAGCGGAGTGAGCAGTGTCAGACAATGGGCACGCAGGACAATGTTCAATATATTCTTATTCTCTGGCAAAGAAGCACAGATGGATGAAGTGACTTGCACAAGCATCATCCTGTGGCAAAATCATGACCAGAACTCATATTCTCTGGGTTTTCTTTTAAAGAGCCCTGACCCATTTCTGTGGGGGACCTTACAGTAAAGGAGACAAGATTGGAAATAGTGGTTGTGTTTCAGATGTCTCATTGATTCTCTCTTTGATCTGTTTGCACCATAATCACAGCCAGTCTGACCATTTGCATCACACAGGGCTTTACTGAACCAGGGTCCCTGTGGCTGTTTTAATATTTAAAGTAATAATAATTGTATAATATAATCTAATTTGAAGTTCCTTCATGGGCCACATATATTTGAATTATCTATACAAATAATTCATGATTACTTTTAACTATATAGACAGCAATAGGTTAACCCAAAAAGGTAGGAAATTCTAAAATTGCATTATTGGGAACTATATGATGTCTTCTCCCTCTTACCCCCAAAACGTATATTAATGGATTTATTTTTACTGAAAGCCAACATTAGAATTAAAGTCTATATATGACACCCCAAATAGTTAAATACATGCAGAGAAGCAAACATTGAGTGCCTTTTCCCACTGGATACGGGGAATTCTATAAAATAGCATACAATTTTATTCCATTTAAATTGAGTAGCACTTGTCACAAACTATTATTTATGTTTTCTACAAGTTTTAAATTAGTCACTGAATAGGTTGTCAAAATAGTTGCACTGGTTTATGTATGCATTGTAAATTCTGGCACAATTTCCAATTCTAAAAACTAAACTAGACATTAAAAGTATAATTTCTGTTCTTGTTCTCTATTTTCAGTGCTTGCCACAATATTTAGTATTTAATAATGTGCATATGAAACAAAAATATTCTTAGTTCTGTTAACTAACAGCACTCTGGTATATGACCTTTGCAACTACAATGGCTATTTCAGAATTGTATTTTTACTAATTATAACTAAGACACATATGCCAGAGATAGCAATCCAAATTGACTTGAGATTCCTTCACAAAATTGTCTTTCTAATTGTACTGCCTTTCATTAATTATGTCTTATTGTCACATTGTATTATATCTGTGCACAGCATGATGTTAAAGAACAGAAGGCAGGGAATGAGAAGCAGTGTGAAACGTTGTAGGCATTACATTTTAACGAGATAACATTTGTGTTGAATCTGAATGCCTGCAGTTAATTCAGAGAACAAGTATTTTAGTTAAAATTTTAACATGTTTAGCAAACCAAGTATTCATTAAGGCAGGCGAGGTAGAAGGATTGTGAGAGGCCCTGTGTGACAATTATCAAGCCTGCGGTTCTGTGAGCAAGAAATATATTTTATTGCAGGTGGAGATGCCCTGTGTGCTGTGGTATGAAACTCTTTGCTTTTTCTCTTCAGGTCCTCAAGGGTTTTCCAGAATGTTTACAAGCTGACATTTGTCTACATCTCAACCAGACTTTGCTACAAAACTGCAAAGCCTTTCGGGGAGCAAGCAAAGGTTGCCTTCGAGCTTTGGCAATGAAGTTTAAGACCACCCATGCACCTCCGGGAGACACTCTGGTGCACTGTGGGGATGTCCTCACTGCACTTTATTTCTTATCCAGAGGCTCCATTGAAATCCTCAAAGATGACATTGTAGTAGCCATTCTGGGTGAGTGTTTGGAATTGGATGGGGACAAAGTCAGTTACAAGCTGGTGCTATGCGGAGTTTAAAATTACAGAAAAAAAGGACTGATTTTATTTATTCATGAGTATAACTTAAGACTGATGGGTAATTTTAAAGCTTCATTTCCACTCAATTCAAATCAAATTAACCTCTCTTGACTCTCACTTTTCCTCTGATGTGTAAACTGTCCCATGACGCTCTTGTCCTTGGCAGCTGAGTAAGCATTTGATGGCCAATATACAAAAGTAGTCAGTATTATTTTCATCTTAGAAGACTTGGATTTATGCTTGGTCCTTTTACCCCTTAAATAAAATGTACATATTGTAAGTATAGTGGCTAGAATGTGCCAGTGCCCTGTACAACTGGGTTTATGTTCTGATGTATTTCACCTATTTGCCATGCACTTGAACCTACTGTGTGTCATCCAATGGGATTACAAGAGCTATAACCTTGCAGTGAGGATATTATAATTAGCAATAAACTGGTTTGGGTGCTAAAGAGAGTCATCTATCCAATTGGTCTCTTAAAAAATATATTAAATCAGGGTGAACATAGCTAGGGTGTGCATGCTGACTGGCTTACTTTTTGCTCATTCACAGTAATTTAAGCTAATTGAAATACAAAGTCCAGGCTGGATTTAGTTGTGGGATTTTCTTTGATAATGCCTATACTTAAGTACCAAAACTGTAAAGAATCTGAAGATTCTCCTTTTCTGTCTCCAAATCCACCTGAAGTCTTCACAAGTTGTGATTGTTCATTCTATTTTTTAAAAGCTAAGATTACTTAAAGTTAATGTATTTGATCTAATGTCATTTTTTACTATAAAGATATGGGATCTGATTTTTCTCACTCAATTCACATTTAAGGTAAGAAGACTCCAGCATATTTTTAATATTTAGGACTTTATTGTTTCAACTTTATTGTTTTAATATTTAGGACTTTGATGGTTTCCATGGTTAGGTATATATGAACTTGTCTAACAAAAATGAAGTTAACAGCCCAGCTGCCATGGCTCAGTGGTTGAGCGTCGACCTATGAACCAGGAATTTACAGTTCATTCCCATCAGGGCACATGCCAGGTTGTGGCTTAATCCCCAGTGTGTGGTGTGCAGAAGGCGGCCAATCAATGATTCTCTCACATCACTTATGTTTTCATCTCTCCCTTTCCCTTCCTCTCTGAAATCAATACAATTATATTTAAGAAAAAAGGTTAACAGATCCAAGGAGGTTTTTATCTAATTATGAAAAGAAGCTTCAGGATATATGTAAGCAAGTACTATTTTACACTTCCTTTGATGGTCTTTAAAAGTCATGTAATCAATAACCTTTCAATGGTTACTTAGTACATATTTCTCAGGCACAATTTTTTAAGTGTCTTGACATTCAGAAACAGAAAAAACTGAGTGGCCACAGCATTCATGCAAAATATTGCAGGGAATTTAAACACAAGTGGTGTGTAAAGGTTTTGATTGGAGTCAGAATGCATGGATTTATTCATAGTTACTCTCTCCCTCCCTTTACCCATCTAAGTAGGTCACCTTGACCTAATCAATTGAATTCTATTTCTCTTTCCATATTCATAAAAGTTGGATAATAATTAGCAATTTCTTTTTTAAAATATATTTTATTGATTTTTTTAGAGAGAGGAAGAGAGAGGGATAGAGAGTTAGAAACATCGATGAGAGAGAAACATCGATCAGCTGCCTCCTGCACACTCCCTACTGGGGATGTGCCCGCAACCAGGGTACATGCCCTTGACCAGAATTGAACCGGGGACCTTTCAGTCTGCAGGCCAATGCTCTATCCACTGAGCCAAACCAGTTTTGTCAGCAATTTTTTATGAGGTTATTTGGGGTATTTATTTAAATAATACACCTAAACATTGACACAGTGCCTGGCACCTACTTAGTCTTCAGTGAACATTTGTTGCTGCTGTCATTATCAGCCTCACCATTGAGCAGGTGGCAAGGAAGGAGATGGGGAAGGCCCATTGGACGCCAGACACTAAATTAACTCCAGGTTTAGCAAGACTGCAAGGGCACACTTTTAGAATAAAGGCCATGTGGTAAGAAAGTATGTCTGTGTATGTTGAGAAAATGTAACTAGATTATTAAACAATGGGATAAATTCATTAAAGCCAAATCCAAAAGTGGTTACTAAAGGAAACAGGGTATGTTCAAATTGTACCCCTAGTCCTTTAAGTGGGAAAGTGTTCCACCATAACCCCATGCTTGGCATCTCCTGCAGAGACCACCCTCAGATAGAAAGTTCATGAGTCAGACTCACACAGCTGTACTCATATTTCTGCATTGACAAAATCAAACCACATCTATATGGCAAGGAGTTTTTTAGCAATGAGGGGATAGCAGACTAAGGCCATATTTGCTACTTCCTAGTTGTTTAGCCAAAGAATCAAAACAAGAAAGTAATTGGGTTTATACTAGGACCAATGCACTAAGAGGCAAATTCTACTCAGCAAACTAAGTAGTTACTATGAGGTGACTACCCAAGAGTCTGTTGGCCATGGGGTTTCATATTTGAAATCTTTAATTCAGAGATTAGTCCGTGGTTCTCTTCTACTTTTACAAACACAAACAAACAAAAAACATTAAATTCAGATTTCTTTAATTCATGTTTTTTTTTTCTTTTTTAAAGGGAAAAACGATATATTTGGAGAAATGGTTCATCTTTACGCCAAACCTGGAAAGTCTAACGCAGATGTAAGAGCTCTCACATACTGTGATTTGCATAAGATCCAGAGAGAAGACTTGTTAGAGGTTCTGGATATGTATCCTGAGTTTTCTGATCACTTTCTCACAAACCTAGAGTTGACCTTCAACCTAAGACATGAGAGTGCAAAGGTATATGTGAACTGTGTGCTTATTTCTTGTGCTTTTGACATTTCATTTTATTCTTGGACTGCTCAAATACCTCTGAAAGGTCAAGCAAAATATGTAACAAAACTTTACCAATTCTGAATATTTGGAAGGAAAAGCCAACTTAATACTGAATTTCTAAATTATAGGGAATGAATTTAGCCTAATTACTTTCAAATAGATTAAATAACTCTACGTAGGTCAATTAAATCTGACCTCTTAGGAACTCTTAGGTGACATACTTGATATAAAATAGCTTTGGCTTATATTGGACAACTATTTGTAAGAAATGGGTGATTCTAGAGTATTGAAAATTCTCTAACCAAATTTATCTTATATAGAGGTTAAATATTCTCTCAGCTATTATTTACAACAGGCATTGGTTAGTAATGTCTTTTTTATAAAAAGTAAACTTATTTTACTTTATATCCATATTTAACACAATTTCCAAATCACATAGGTAAAAATTAATCAGGTTTATACCTGCATCAAAATTAGTGCTTCAAATGAATAGCATATAGTGTAGTAAAAATATTTTAAATGATTTTACATAAAATCTTTTAAAATAAGTTTTATATCTCTCAGTCTCCTCCACTATGAACATATATCCTTATGATCTACCACTGTTTTAAAATATAGAATTTATATAGCAGCCCACAATTTATTATTAAGTTATTCCTCCATCCTCCTCCCCTCTCCAAAACAAAAACAAAAACAAACAAACAAAAAAACTCCTGTTCTAAATATTCTTTTTTTTTTTTGCCAGAAATAAAATGTTGGGCTTTGGAAACTTGCTAATGTATTTTAATGCTAACTAAATACTCTCTAGAAATAAAGATTCTCAAGTCAATAGTTCGGTAAAAGATGATAGACTTAATTCTTCCTGGAGTTTCAGTCCTTCCCATGTTCTGTGAGAGACCTAAAAATGTTTAAAGTACAGTTGACATTCAATATTATTTCATTTTTAGTTTCAGGTATACAGCATAATGTTTAGATAATTATACAATTTACAAAGTGATCCTCCTGATAATTCTAGTACCTACCTGGCACCATGCATAGTTATCACAATATCAATGACTATAATTCTTATACTGTACATTACATACCTTTTCCTTTTTCACTGTTTTGTACTTCTAGCTCCCTATACCTTTTCCATTGGAATACCCAACCCTCTTCTCATCTAGCAACCCTGTTTTTTCTCTATATCTGAGTCTGTTTGTGTTCTGTTTGTTTATTTTGTTCTTTAGATTCTACATATAGGTGAAAGTATAAGTCTTTCTCTGACTGGCTTATTTTACTTAGCATAATACCCTCTAAGTTCATCCATATTGTCCCAAATAGTAAGATTCTTTCTATGGCCTAGTATCATTCCATTGTACATATGTACCACCACTTTTTAAAAAATATATATATGTTTTTATTGATTTTAGAGAGAGAGGAAAGGAGGAGAGAGACAGAAACATCAGTGAGAGAAACATCAATGTTGATCTGATGCCTCCTGCACGCCCCCTACTGGGGATTGAGCCCGAAGCCTGGGCATGTGTCCTGACTGGGAATTGAACCAGTGACCTCCTAGTGCATAGGTAGATGCTCAACCATTGAGCCACACCATCCAGACCCACCACTTATTTATCCATTTGTCCATTAATGGGTACTTGGTTTGCTTCTATATCTTGACTATTGTGAATAACACTCCAATAAAAGTAGGGTGGTGTATATGTTTTCTAATTAGTGCTTTGGATTTCTTTGAACATATAACCCAGAAGCATAATTGGTGGGTCATAAGGTTATTTTATTTTTAGTCTTTTGAAAAACCCCTATACTGTTTCTATAGTTGCTACACCAATTTGCAATCCCACCAATAGTGCACAAGGGTTTCATTTTCTTCAATCCTTGTCAACATTTGTTGTTTATTGATTTATTGATGATAGCTATTCTGAAAAATGTGAGGTGATATCTCATTGTAGTTTTAATTTGCATTTCTCTGACAATTAGTAACACTGAGCATATTTTTATATAGTATATATATTGGTTATCAGTATGTCCTCTTTGTGGAATTATCTTTTCAGGTCCTCTGTCCATTTTATAATTGGATTGTTTGTTTTCTTGGGGTTAAGTTGTATAAGTTATTTATCAATTTTAGCTATTAACCCCTTATAGAATGTATTTTTGGTGAATATGTTCTCCTATTCAGTGTGTTTGTTGTTGTTTTTTTTTTCATTTTCTTGATGAATTTCTTTGCTATGCAAAAACTTTTTAGCTTGATTTTTAAGGTCACTATGGTACTAGATTTCACATATAAGTGAAATCAGATAGTACTTGTCTTTCTCTGACTGGTTTATTTTACTCCATGATATCAAAAAGGGTAAGATTTTCTTTTCTTTTTTTTTTGTGGCTGAGCAGTATTCCATTGTGTAACTATACCACCTTCTAATCATTACCATGCAATTTAAACAGCACAACTAATTAAAATTAGTTCATTCTTTGTTTTTTTCTGAAGTAATACACATTCTGCAAGGATTTTAAAAACTGTTGTTGTTTTATTTTAACTTTACCAAGTTATATAAAAGACATTTCACGTAAAGGAACATAGTCTCTAAATGTTGTCAGGATCATCCCCAAACATTTCTGATAAATTCTAAAACTATAATTTTGAATATGATGGAAATGGGAAGTGATTAAAATGATTCTGTCAGTTTACTTTATAATTTAAAGACAATCATTAAGCAAAGCATCATGGCTATTTGCCTACAGACTAATAATTAAGTCTCACAATGGTTGAAATCATATGAAATAGTGAACAGTTTACTGATAATAATTGTTTAAATTGAGTAATCTTCTATTTTATCTTATGCTCTATTAACAAAGACTGATCTCTTACTACGATCACAGTCCATGAATGACTCTGAAGGAGACAACTGTAAACTACGAAGAAGGAATTTATCATTTGATAGTGAAGGAGAGACAGGTAATTCATTCTATTTATAAAGTTCAACTGTAGAGCATGTGGTTATTAGCTCTTTTTACTTAATTGCTGATGTCAAGGGGAAACTTTTTTTTAGGTTTTAGAAAGGCAAATTCTTTGCTTTTATTCAGTAGCTAATGATATGGTTCCTGATTGACAGCTCTCAGCAATGTCATTCAACAAAGCCATCTGATACTAGTATCTACAAAAACATCACAAGTAGAGAAATAGAGTGTGTTTGTTTGTTTTTAAAGAAGCCAATTAATAACAGCTGAATAACTATGCCTCAGAATTCTGAACAGAGTGTTCTGGGGAGAAGACTCTTCTTACAGACTCAGTGTTTAGTCCCAACACATGCAGGACATGCAAGAAGATGGTATTCTCTGAGGTACTTGCCATTCTTTGTCCTGTCAAGAATTTTCTGTCCTTTCAACTACTCTTTACGTTTTACTCAAAAATACAACAAATATACATTTAACATTTCATATTTTTAAGGAGCTACTCCATCTCTGAGAAACAAATGGTGCAAAATAGCCCTTGTCCTCCAAAGAAAGATGATAAACCCTCTATTATTTCAAATATAAATATGAGGTGCTGTACCCAGAGTTCACAAACCTCAGTGGGAAGCCAAATGAGGATACTTGTATCTAATTGAGCCTGGGCAGATGGGAGAAGGCTTTTCTGATCCATCACACGTTCCAGTCTTCACCTTATTTGGCCGCTCGAAAGAATCACTGTGAACCAATTCCCTTCTTCTTCTTCTTATGTATTTCTCTCTTGGCATCTGTGACTCTGCACTCCTCCTGTTTTCCTCCTCCTCTCAGTAATTCTTTGAGAATTGTCACAAAATTGTTATATTTTAAACTCGTCCATTAGTTATTAGAGTTCCTCAAGGCATGGTCCTGGGCCCTCTTTTCTTCTAATTCTATTTTTATGCTTACAGTTTTATGATATTCTCACATAAGAAGTGTGCATATTTAATCCAGGACCATCTAAGCTTCAACTTCATATACCCAACTGCTTATTAAACCATCAACTTGAGAGCTCAAAGGCAGCTCAAACTCAAGATTTCCTAAACTGAACTCACAATGTCCCCCTGGAAACCTGTCTCTCCATCAGTTGCTATGTCTTTCAATGGCACTACCATTCAATCCACTGCACAGCCAAGTGGCCATCTATGCCCCTTCTCCCAACCTCTCCATAAGCTCTGGCAACAAGTCTAATTATTGCTACCTCCAATACATCTCCATTTAGTCATCGAACTAGGTCCTTTTTGGTTTACTTCTTTCCATCTTCATGGCCACAACTCCAATTCAAAATATCATAATCAGTCACCTGCAATACTAAAATGGCATCCCAATTTACCTTGATTCCCTCTGATTTATTCTCCACACTGGACAACTGGTAAACTTTTTTCTAAATGTAGTTAAGTTTATGTCACCCACTTATTTAAAGCCCTCTGAGGCCTTCACATTTCCTAAATTCTTAATAGGTGGTCTATGTCTACTTCTTCAGTCTTATCTGATACCACCCATTCTATCACTACTTAACCTGGCCTTCCACAATCAGCTCTTCTCTTTTGCAACATTTCAGTTGTACTTTGTTTATCTGCATTGTTATTTCATAGATATTGTGTGCCACTAGATCATAAGCCCCATGAAGGTGGTAAATACTTAATCACCTTTCAGTGCTTGCCACACAATAAGAGTTCAACAAATACTTGTTGAAAAAAATTAATGAATCAATAAAATTTATGCATCTTCCTTTTGATTCTCTTCCTCCTTTTGCTTTCTTAATCCAAGTTCTTTTCTTGGCCCTCTTTTCTCTGAATTCTCGCTCAAGGGGAGTTCATCTACTAGCATAAATTAGCTCTATATTTTAAGTGAACTAAACTGCCCTCTTGTCCATCTAAATTGTTTCTGTGTTTTTGCCTATATTATTATCTTAATTGGACTTTTCCTCCCTGTCCTCAAACACACACACCTGCAGCCACAACACACACTTTTTCATCTACTAACATTACATTTTTTTCAGTTGACCTCTAAAGACATATTCAACATAAATTCTTTCTTGATTTCCACAAATATATAATTATTCTTTCTCTTAAGAATTCCCAAGGCACTTGCCTCTTGTATATTGCTAAAAACTGCCCTGTACAGTAGTTATTGGTATATCTGTCCTCTTTCTCTACCCAGCTATAAGTTCTTTAGCAAAAAAGAATTGATAAATATTTGTTGAATTGAGATAATTGTTGGATCTTGTGGCTGATTACAGAATAATAAATCACTCACAAATAGGTGACAATTTATTTCTTCAATATCCTTCATTCTTCTCTTGTTGACTTTCTCTAAAATCAGAACCATTACTGTCAAGTTGCTCTTCTATAGACTTAATCTAAATTCTTTATCCTGAAGTTCATCTCTTGTTTTGATCTTGCTGGAAATGAAGAGCAGCTTGATAATGTTTTTCATATTATAATGAACCCCAAAGAGTTGAAAATTTATTAAACCTCCTCTTAATCTTGTTTTGATTCCATATTCTGAAAATTTGCACAATTTACACTGTGCGCATGCAACTAGACATTTCTGTTGATCCTAAAAACTTTTTTCCTAATCACAGACTTAGTCTATGACATTATTTTGTACAAAATGTAGATAGTAAGGGTTTTGCCTGGCTTCCAGTAGCTCTCTGACATTTCCTGATGTTTTAGTGAGTAAGCACAATTTGGCTAATATGAAAACATAGTGAATTTTACTTATCCAGAGCCTGAGAGCCTAGTCTAGTCTTCAGGATTCCATGCTACTGTAGACAAGTATAAAAGTTGCTGAAAGTAATTTAGTCCTTGTCACCCAATCTAATGCTTTGAAGGTGATCATCCATTCTACACTTCTTGATGTACAATCAATATCTAAGGTAAAACATACTATAAGTATATAAAACTTTCAGAAAATAATTGATGCTAAGTGATATGGGGCTACACAAATTGAAAGCTACCTATGAAAAGCATTGATTATTTTAGAGTTAGTTTACTGCCCATGTGAAACAATACCTTGAAAGCAGACATCAAAGAACACTGACTGAGTTGGTCAGGATAAGCATCAAAAACCAGAGGTAAGAACACATGTTGGGCATTGGAAACTGACAGAGAGTGAGTCCTGTACTACTTCACTACATACCTATCAACTAAGCACTGAAACTGTTTGGCCTTCAATCCTCAACTCTCTCCATCCCCATCCAATCTTGCTTAACACATAATGCTAAGGAGCTTACATAAAGTATATATATCAATATATATATCAATATATCTATATATATATATATATATATATATATATATATATATATTAATGAATAGGTATAAACAGAACCTCCAGCAAGTTGATTGAACAAATAGAAGCTTAGCATATTGAATCTCTTCTCTCTTAAAATGAATATGTTGATGAAAGTGGTTTGTCCTTATGAGCTTAACAATTTTTCTGGAAAAATAAAAGCATTTCCTGACAAGAAAAAAACCATAAGTTCAGTTCTAAATTTTAGGACCCCTTGTATATTTTTTAATCTTCACCTGAAGATTACGTTTTTTTAACATATTTTTATTGATTTGAGAGAGGAAGGGAGAGGGAGACAGATAGAACAATATAGAAATAAACATTGATGTGAAAAACATCAGTCAGTTGCCACCCATTTGTACCCTGTCCAGCAATTGAATGTGCAAACTTTGGTGTACAGAAGGATAATCTAACCAACTGAGCCACCTGGCCAGGGCAGACACTTTGTATTTTTTGAAGGTATCATCTAGTAGTTCTCCTTTTTTCCTAAATTCTGGCATGGAAGTGCCCAGGACCTCCCTAATTAGACTAGGGTCATTGTACCAGGAGGTGCTTTAGGTCTTGAGATAGAAATAAAAAGCTACTGTTACAGATAATGAATAATAAAAATAAATCTTCAAAGACCTATTGAGTGGACATGAGCATTGATAATATGGTTGAGTAGAATAGAAGTAAATGAGGTATACCAAATAAGAACATGTTGAAAATAGTCTCTAAGAAGTCTACAAAGTTAGAGTGGATTGTGCATACCTCAGTGTGCCAATATGACCCATTGGGTCACAGGGTATATTTATCTTAAAATTTTATATTGTTTACATTTTATAATATAGATAGTATATTAATACAATAGAATGTATGCTCTACCCTGTATAATGGCGCACACACACACACACACACACACACACACACACACACTTTTCACCAATAGCGTTTTTATAACCAAATATTTTAGTCTGCTCAGTAAATTTAATATCCAGGGACATAACATTTAGTATCAAAGTTGTTACTAGTGATTGATTTAGAGAATCAATAACCATTTGTCAGAGAATAAACAAATGAGAACAGAAATGTAACAGATCCAAGAAACGGGGAAATAATCAAAATACTGTTACCGATGTGCCCCTGCCAACCAAAGGAGTGGAAATTAAAGTAAAACAAAATGTTCATCATCCTCTTTCCACTGGACTGAGATGTTATCACACATCCCCTTGAAAACAGGAACCCATTTCAAGACATATTATGCACACATCATAACAGTAATGAAGAAAGGCTGCAGTTCTCTCATTTCCTTCCCCACATAATTTTTAATAAAAATGGCAGGCACTTCTCTATATATTACAGCTGAAAACATGTACTGTCCCAAAAAATGAGAGTGGAAATATCTTGAGCTCATCATATGAAATTCCTGGAATTTCATTTATTTAGGAATAATCTTTCTCTTTTTGTAATAGTGGCTTAATGATTTCACAGGGTCATTCAAAAGTCAGTATGCTTTGAAAGTGTTTCTCCAAAATAAAATAACATCTATGAAAATTATTGAAGTAAGGAATAAATATATACATTGTTAAACTTATTTTGGAGAATAAGCATTAGTATAATTATAATTTTATTAAATTAAGCATTTTAAAATATTGGTATTATACTTAGGCATCTCTCAAATATCTTCGCTAATAACAAATAGTTATTATCTCTCATCCATTTCAGCAATAGTAGTATATTTTATTTTAATTTTAAGATGTTTTTAAATTTTTCATCTTTTATTCGTATAGAAAAATGATACTAGTTTTCATTCTTTGAAACTAGAGAGAAACTAAGGTACTTGAAATCTAAGGAAACAATATACTTTAGAGGGCAATTTTCCAGTGCAATCAATTTTTAAAATGCATCTGCCTGGAAAAATGCTCAATTTTTCAAAATTGCTACCAATAAGAAATCTAAAATTTAGATGCTGAGAGAGTGCATTAAATGTCTCTCTTTGTCCAAAATTTGATCTACCTGTTAGGTCTGACATATAAAAATGGTAATTAATCTGAGAGAAAGATTTCATCTGGACACTTTTTTTGTGCTGTTCAAGTCATTCTGAACACGAGAGACACCACAGGACCAATCACAAAATGCTTTAAAATTGTGTTCTATGAGAAAGAGAAAGGAGATGAACTGTCAGCCTGCAGAAACAAGATTTTTTTTTTAAAGTTTTGAATCATCTAAATCAGAAAGCAACCTTGAGACTTAACTAAACAGGGAAGAAAATTCTTTGCAAAATGATGGTAACAAGTGATTAGACAATCTCATTGCTAGCAAAGGGGGAACACTTTCGATTAATGCCCTCAGAACAATATTTCTACGTGGTACCTAATACTATTTAATAGCCATACAAATAACCCACTTTACCTAAGAAAAGGCAGACATGAAATCAGCCATCAGAATCTAAAGGTACTGGAAGCTCATTAAAATGCATTTCAGCCCAATTTCATGTGTTCCATCAGCCAACCTCCAGCCTCAGCCTGAGCAGTTTCTATTTTTAACCCACAAGTAGATTGTCATTTCCACTTTCATTGTAAATGATAGAAGATGAAGCTGTGATTTATTTGGTAGCGAATAGAAAATTGTTGTTGCAGACAGGCTGCTTCAAAGAAACCGCTCAGATGGCCTGCGTTCCGGGAGGCAGCTGGGCTGACGGTCAGGTGGCAAGGAACGTGGAAATAAAAGTGGAGTAATTCTCCTTAAGTAGTGGAGCAATTCAAAGATGTCAAACGTTTCCTTCTTCTTTCATGATCCTGCTTTTACATGGAATTTTTTGCTAAAGGATTTAGATACCAAGAACATGAAGTAATCTCCATTTCACTATAGAACGAAATAATAATCCCTCATTCACGACATTTTGTGAATACTTATCCTGAGTGGAAACCAGCAAATTACAATTCAATTTAACAACATATGCTAACTGATGAATTTGCCCCTACGCTTCCAAAATTTAGACCCTAAGTTAGTAAAGACTGAGGTTCATGTAGCAAGTCCAACAAAGACATTTTACCGGTGATGTGTGAGGATTTAAAAGAGAGACCTTCCAAGACCTCTCAAGCCAAAGAGACAAAATGATTCAATATTTTTAAGCTACATTCAATACACATATTACTGTTAGCATTTTCATACTTAGATTAGAGCCAAATGAATGAATAGTTAAATCAGTTTGCATTTGATTATGCCAGAAAGATACCCTGACAGTGTTTAAAAGAAAAGCTAATTCTAAACCCCATGGTGGTCAAACTGCACAAAGGTTTACTTAGCAGCAGCAAACTGATGCAATTCACTTGGCAGATATGCGGATAATTTAGAAAAGTAAAGCTTTCCTTTAAAAAAAAACAACAAACATCTATCAACATAAAATTGGGAACTATTATTTCTTGAGGAATAAAATTATATATTCATAAAGTGGGGAATAGTTGATCCAGTTTTCGGGAGGGGAGAAGTTAACAAAGAAAACAGGAAGAAATGACAAGAATGAAGTTCAGAAGCTTGAAGAGGCTGTGTCAGTGTCTCCGGAGGAAAGAGGGTTTGTGTAGGAAGAGCTGATGGAAATACAATCAGATTAGTGGCTGAGTAGAGAAGCATAAGTGACACTGAGTGATCAATGATGTCTACAGTGCTTGAACTCCATAAGGTCTGTGATCTTCTCAGCAAAAATGAAGTTACTGTACCAGTGTGAATTCTCAGGACAATAAATTGGGCTATCCCCTTTTGTTATATTTAACTTTCATTGAAAGAACATTAACTTCTTAATAGCAGCTTACTTGAGGCTGACTTTTTAAAAAAATATATATTTTATTGATTTTTTACAGAGAGGAAGAGATAGAGATAGAGAGCTGGAAACATCGAGGAGAGAGAGTCACCGATCAGCTGCCTCTTGCACACCCCCCACTGGGGATATGCCCCAACCAAGGTACATGCCCTTGACCAGAATCGAACCTGAGACCCTTCAGTCTGCAGGCTGACGCTCTATCCACTGAGCCAAACCGGTTTCGGCGAGGCTAACTTTTTAACTCTATACATTTTTACACTGAGTTTCTTTCTGGCTTCTTATATTTTAAATTATGATTTTTTTAAATAAAGGGGAAAAATCTCTAATTTCTATGTCATATGGGAATTTTAAAAAACAATTGGAAGCTTCTCTGGAGTGGCCTTAAATCAGTTCCTTTGGCCTTCTATAACAAACAAAGCAAGCACACAAGTCAGAGCATAGATGGAGACACTGCCTCAACCATTTTTCTAGAAAGTGATATACCTTCTAGAGTATGTTGGTTAGTTATTAACAGTAACCAGATGGAGAATTATACTGTCTCCCCAGGAAATTAATGGAAACAACCTCTGGTATTTGTCTCTGAGTTTTTCTTGCTGACGAACGTTCTAACACAACCTTAAAGGCTGAAATTATCCTGGTATTTCTGCATAAAACAGTTAATAGGCACTACTGGCTATAATGTAATTGGTAAACTCACCTTAATTACTGTATTTTGCTTTATATTCTTTGCAACATGCTACACAAACAAACTATCCAGAATTCCAAGGCCATTATATTAATATATACAGTTGAAATTCAGCTTTCCAGGCTTTATCAGAATAACTTCCAGTTTGGACCTTTGCAATGTATGAAGGTCCTACAGATGCCAGGGCGTGACATTTTAAAACAAACAACAAGTTGCATAATGCTGGTATTTTAGAATTGGGACACATTTCTCCTCCCTTTTTATTTCCTTAAGAGATAATGCACCAGATTTCAAGAATACAAATAACTGTTGAGCTGGCATAAGACTGCAAGTTATCTTATAGTGTTATTTTTCTCTGAAATAAGACATTACTATCCAGCTAATCTTTTAATTTTAAAATGAAACATGTATTTCATTAGGATAATCTAATATTTCTTGAATTAAGAAAAAGTCTGCTTAATTAGCTACACATTTAACAGAAAAAAAAGAGAAAGAATAACTTTTCTGGTGATTTTATAGAAATTAAGTTATTCAAAGAACATCACTATTGAAAAGGTCATTGGTGTATCAGTGGTGTAATGTTCATAGAGTGTCATATTTAATTATCTTCTATAAAATAACTTTCCTCAATAGATTTTGGGAAAGGAAACAGTACAAATGATGCTGAAGATTCTGGAGACACCATAAGAAATTATCAAAGTTCCAAAAAACACACCGAAGAGAAAAAAAGCAGATCTTCATCTTTCATCTCCTCCATTGACGATGAACAAAAGCCTCTCTTCTCAGGAATAGTAGATTCCCCGCCAGGCATAGGGAAAGCAACGGGGCTCAATTTTAAAGAAATAGTGCCCACATCAGGAAGAATTCACATAGATAAAAGAAGTCATTCTTGCAAAGGTAACTGAGTTTCTCAAGAATCAGGTTGTCTGTCTTTGGTGCTCATCATAAAATGACGATTTTTCACAAATAACTGTACTAGCACATGTTTCTCTAATCTTTTGCTATTTCATAACATATTTGCGAAGAGTTCAAATCTCAGATCATCTACAAATCATTTGTACCATTCTGGACCCAAGCATGAGAGGGGTTTTTTTGTTTGTTTTGTTTTTTATGACCAGTCAGACTTAATGTAATGACATGTAGAACCCTGATAGCTTATAGCATGAAAGGCCAATGCAATAATACTACAGTGAGGGCCAAAAAATTCTATTTACTGGGAATTATGAGAAAATGAGTGAAATGCTTCTAAATAAAGTATGTTCTTGATCCAACTCATTTGAATATATTTATTTAACATCTCCACCAAAAGAAATCCCCAAATATATGGGTTTTGCTGCAGAAAATATGCATGAGAAGGGTAATAATAAATGCAAATCTGATGCTAAAGAATGGGAAATTCAGAGAAACTTGAGAACTATCACTTGGAAGAACAATTAGCTTAGAATAAGCAGAGCTAGGTTTACAGATCTTTTTAGATTTATCTATTAAGTGGGTGCAAAAATAGGTGTGGTTCAGATTACTTGGGTTCCATTCATAACTCTGTCACTTGTTCCCATTTAGACTTAGGATAAGTGACCGACAGACCCCACTAAAATTCAGTTTGCACATCTTTAAAGCAGGAATAATATATTTCCTAAGTAACTAATGGTTAACAAGATAACAAGCTTAAATTATCTATTCTGAAATATAATCCCCAATTAGGTTTAGTATTTTCTCACAGGTTTTATTTTTTCTAACCCTTTAATCGTTGAATATATCCCTATATATGTAAAAATATCAATCGCATAGCACAAAGTCAAAAGAATATAACAGAAATAAGGTAAAAATGGGATGTTCTCAGACTGGCAGAATAGCAAAATTATGGGACAAAGTAAATATTATCTATCAGTGTCACCATTATTTGCAGTGACTATATTTGACAATAAAAGTTTTATTTAGGCTTTACATTTTTCCACTGCTACTTTCCCTATCTTATCAAATCAGCTTTTGCCATGATCCCACATTGAAGAAAGCTAAGAATATGTTCTCTGGACACTTTAAAATCTTGATGAAGTGGATGAAAATAGTACTTCATTTATCACAATAGAAAAATGGAATATTAAATGTCATTACCAAATGCCTCATTTTAGTTATTTATGAAAATGAATTTTAGGAAGTGCTAAAAAGAGAAAAGGGTTGTATTGTGGAAGTCAAAAGTTCTGAAGAGCTTACTGAACCATCTCTACTATCCCCAAAAGTCAGCCTAATGTGGGCCTGACTTTTAAAAAAAAACACCCTGTGTTTTGATTTTTACCACTTGATTTTGAGCCTTAATTGACAAGTTGTTGAAGATATATTTGGGGGATTTTATTCAACTTTATAATAGCTCTGCTGACAGTGAATTCTCATGCCCTTCATCTTATGTTTTTCTTTGCTACTTCTTCCAGTTATTTTTAATTATTCTACATGCACAATAAGATAGTATTCCAACAAATAATTTTAATATCTGTAAGTTTTTAATTTTCAAAAATTTATAATGCAATCTTTATTCAAATAGTAAATAACTACTTTGAAAATGTCAATTGAATAAACACAATTGACATTGTATAACATCAGTGTGACACAGTTAACCTAGATAATTAATATGATTAACAAATAATTATTAAACCATTGCAAATTTCATTCCCTAATGATTATTTAAGGTGAAGTAATACGGGATGTTTGAGAATTTGAATAACATGTAGGGTGCACCTGTAACTGCTGCAATTTGAATCATTAACTCCCTACAATCTTTAGATTTTTCATTAGTAGGAAATTTTCCTCACTCACATTCCTGGCATTTGTCCTGCAAAGCACCTTTCAGGCAAAACTAAAATGAAACAAACAAGCAGAAAAAGAAACAGACTCTGATCATACTTAGATTGAGGTCAAAAGTTGAATCTAGGAAAAATGTGTATACAGAAAAAAGTGAAAATTTACTTTCTGTTTATCCATTTCCAGGAATGTGTCTTGCAACTATAGCAACATTTTCCAAGGCAACTGAGTGCAGATTTTTTTTAAGCTATATTTAGAAAGATGTTCATTTTTATTAAGACCCTAAGCAGGATTTCCCTCTTGAACTCCTTTTTTTAAAATATTGCTTCTAAAACAGGCATGCCATATATACATATTATTATTAAGGAAGTCTTTAAGTTTACATTTTATTTGTTTCTTCTAAGTGACATAATCAGTGTTTTGTTTTGTTTTTTTCTTTGAACATTGAAGAAAAATATAATACTGCATAACGTATTCCATGTGATCCACCATTATTCTTTAAATATAAATTTCTTATATATATGACTTAAGAATGAGAGACCTGTTAAGCATAGGCAGAAATTCTGTACACTTTCTCAGCACACAACTTTTAAGCAAAATTAGTAACTTCATTCTATCAGTTCTTATTATTTTTTAAAATAATTCCTAGGTTAAACAGCTAGCAAGCAGCCAGACAGAGATAAATATTCAGAACACAGACCATTAACATCTGTGTTCTGAATGTTTGTCTGACATTGCTACTCCAAAATTGAAAACTTAGTCCGTTGGACATTAGATTTTTGCTATTTTTATTTTAAGTAGTGACATACCTGTGAAAAATAAGGCATACTTTTCACTGAAAATCTGATATATTAGTTAAAACTCCAGGAATTTTGTATTTTTAAAATTATGTTTTTATTTATTTCAGAGAGGAAGGAAAAGAGAGAGTGAGAGAAACAGCAATGATGAAAGAGAATCATTGATCAGCTGCCTCCTGCACACCCCTTATTGGGGAACTAGCCTGCAGTTCAGGCATGTGCTCTGACCAGAAATCAAGCCATGACCTCCTGGTTCATAGGTTGATACTCAACCACTGAGCCATATCAGCGGGGCAGGAATTTTATATTTTTATGCTTATTTTCATTTTGTGGTGTTTAGTAAATTATATACTGTTACTTTTAAAAACAAAACAAAACACCAGGATTCCAGAGGCTAAAGAAGCCTTAATCATGAAAAACCATTCTGGAAATCACAGCATGCTCTCTGAGGTGTGCTACCTATTTCAATAGAACAGGCAACCCTAACCTGAGATTTTTCCAAAGCTGTTTTGAGTATACTAATCCCTTTGTTATAGCTTCAGCCAATTGAAGTGGAAATTGTAGGAAATTGTAGGCACCTTATTAGAGAAAGCTCTGTGTATTCAGTAATAAAAGGATAGTGATAGAAAAATCATGAAAAAAAGAATATAGGACTTTTGTCTGCTACTTGGAGAAAGGTAAGCTTTTGAACTATCTGACAGTATTTTGGAGAAACTGTAAGAAAGGAAGGGATTTTGCAAAGTCCTACACATTCTGTTCCCTATTTCTAAAATTATAGCTAATCTGTACCAAATCAGTTACTTTTCATCTATTTTTTAATCAGTCAAGGATATAAATTCCTTAACTTGACATAACTTATGCAGAGTTTAATCATAGTTCCCTGTCAAAAAAAAAAAGTCTATAAAACCAAAATTACGACCTCTAATTCAAATCTGTTGCAATGTGAAAATTAAAATCTGCTTTAGATCATCTTTCCCTCCTACTTTACCTGTAAAATGAACTCCCAATTCCACTAGTATTTTTTCATGAGCTTTATTTTCTACCTTTTTCTTAAATATATTTTTATTGATTTCAGATAGGAAGGGAGAGAGAGAAACATCAATGATGAGAGGAAACCATGGATCGGCTGCCTCCTGCACAGCCCCTACTGGGGATCGAGCCCACAGCCCAAGCATGTGCCCCTGACTGGAGTCGAACCTGGACCCATCAGTTCACAGGCTGACACTCTATCTATTGAGCCAAATGAGCTGAGCTATTTTCTAACATTTTAATCATTTTAAGCCTTCTCTAAGGTATGTAAAATGTAGAGGGTAAGAAATCATAGCAAAAGTCATCAAAAGCAAAAAATTAGGAAAAACTATATTTGTGCTTAGATATTGACAACTTTTAAGTACAGATTGTAGAAGAAACAATAAATTAAAAGAAGCTCAGAAAACAAATCTCTGTATGAAAAATGCCCAAAAGTTTGGTAAATTGGATTTCTCAGGATCAGGACCAATGTCTTCTTTAATCTTTGATTCCTCTACATTCAGCAGAATGGCACATAATATACACAGAACATTTGAAGAGGACATGAATAGATTGGTGATATGTGTTCAAGTTTAGTAACATAAAAATATTTTAAATACAAGAGACACAGAAAAACCTATTGGGAGTTGATGTGACTATTAAGGGACAGTGCAGAATGAGCCACAAGGAGACAGAGATTTAAAAGCGTGTTATGGGACTAGAGGACCTTTACTTAATGTTCTCATCATTTATGGCTCATTATTTCTTGGCTTGACATTGAGTTGGGCCGGTCTAAAGGAATTCCCTTGAATATCAACTCTATTGGGCCCACTCTGAATAGTGAAGTGCAAACTGTCCTGTGGTAAAGAGCCCTAAAATCTTAAACCCAAGTGTGAAGCACTACAAACAAATGGTGCTGCTTCTTCCCAAACATAAAAGCACAAAATCACTGCTCTCCAATCAGCTTTGGGTTGGCCATCCCTGTTTACTCTTAGTACAAACAGAAGGCAAAGTTGTATTTAAGATTAAAAACTGGCTACCTGTTTTTAATCATCTGGAAATGGATGAGAGGGGTGGCAAGCAGGGTCAGGGAGTGCTAGCAATTGGTTGTGGTCCCTGGAGAGGTCCCTGAGTCACTCTGGATCTCTGAATTTGGATTAAACTTTAAGATCCCTTCCTGCTTGTATTGTGGGTATCTCTATATTACCAATGCCAGTGGGCACATCAAGAAGTTGACATCTATCTTGCTATTTCCCACAGATATCTCTGCCACGAGAAGCTGGGAGCAAGAAAATGCCCAGACTCAGGCAGATGAGTCTAGTCACTCAGCACCTCAGCAAACTGCCTGGGGGATCTCTGAAACCGAAAGTGACCTCACTTATGGGGAAGTGGAGCAAAGATTGGATTTGCTTCAAGAACAACTCAACAGGTATAAGCAATGTCAGGGCAAAGAGGATATAAACCAAGCCCTTCGTTGGGTCTAGCTTTACTCCTTGTAAGTAACAAATTCCTTGTGCCACAATCTCATATTTTTCTTCTACATTTACTGACTTAAAATAAGACTAGAAGTTGACAGAATTATTAATCTGTGTTGCAAAGAGCATTTATTTAGAACACTTCAAACTTCGGGCAGAGTAAATCCTACTTTTTCATTACTTGCCATAAAGCTAGTATATCACCCACACCAGCTGCCTAAGGAAATATTTCATATTTCATATTTCACAAATACCCTTCCTCTTTTAATCCTTCTTTTATACTTGTTGGTTGTTTCCTATAACTTGATTATGTGTTATGATATGTTTTTAAAAGTATCAACAAAATTATTTAAACATTTACTTAGCCAACTTGTTTAAAATTGAAAATCTCACAGAGTTGAAGTCCATATCTTCTCCATTTTTTTTAATCTTGATCTATACTTTTTTTAAATGAGGAATTAATTTAGGTTTTGGGAAGGATGGAACTCTTTAACACAAGCTGGTTAATAAGACTCAGGAAAAAAATGAATGAATGAGTATGATATAGCTACTGTAGTTGTGATTCATGTGGGACTTTATACTGATTTATACATAGACTCCAAGTATATCACCAGGCAAGGCATTCTAGGAGTCACAAATGGAAAACTTCATGAGTGAAACACAGTGTTTTCAGGGAGACTAGGAGACCTTGTTTCTTGGCATCTTGAAGGAAAGATTTCAATCAAAAGACAAACTGTAGCAAAGTAAGAATTTATTGGCCACAGCAAAAATAAACTTAGGACAGTGAAACAAGCAAGGGCATAGAAGGAGTAACGGGAGAGAGTAGGCTGGGCTGCTTTGGCTCACTGAGAAGTCAGAGAAAAGAGGGCCTTGGAGACAGGCTGAGGGGGTTAGACCAGGACAAGTCACCACTGCCTATTGCTCCCCTGGTTGCAGGGGTGGCGATTGTCCTGCCCTTGGGAAGTATAAGGCTCATGAAATGATTTGGTTTGGCACCTACCAGGGCATTAGGAGTGAGTTATTTAAATGTTTGACCAAATATAGCAGGCTAATGTTTAAGTTGATAATTTTGTATGGCCCTGGAATGATGTTATAAATATCCAAATGGCTCTTGGTAGAAAAAAGTTTCCCCTTCCCTGCCTCAGAGGAAAGAGGGGGAAAGAGATGGCACAGGCATGCTTTTTTAGGGGAGAGCAAGCCCCAGGCCCTTTATCCTGAGCACATGTAACTCTTTTGCAGGTGGAAATTTTAAAAGAGGGTGGGGATAAGGGAGAGAGATCAACCAAAGGACTTCTAAGCATATGCATATAACCCTAACCAATGGACACAGACAACAGGGGTGAGGACATGAGTAGGAGGGATGGGGAGTAGGGAGAGCAGGTAAAGGACACATATGTAACACCTTAATCAATAAAGAAATAAAATAAAATAAAAACTCTTAAGGAAGGCCTCAGGGGAGGGTCTCAGTAAGCTATTCATTAGCTTTCTAGGTTTGCTTTTTCAGGGTCTCCACTGATTGGTTGGTGCCAAGGCAAGGGGTCATTAGGCAGTGTAGCTGGTCTTAAGGCAGCCAGGGCATCACTTGTCTGGTTTTGCTACTTTTCTGGGCCTGGAGCTGAAATACAACCGAGGCCTAGATGTTGTCTTTAGAGAGGAAGAAAACATGCTGGACTCTAAGTCTCATGACCAGTAATATACCAGGGAGGAAAGGTTATTCTGGAGACGAGATTCTTGTTTTCCAGTTTTGCCCCTTGCTAAGCATCTGGGGCTTTCTGCAGTGGTGAGTTTCTGCACCTGGCCCATCATCCTCACTCTGCTCATTTCTGTCTAACTGCCCATAGCAACAGGTTTTACTTAAGCAATTTAAAACACCCAATGAGAGATGAGAAGAGCCAGATGCAGTAACATATTTCTATGAAGTGCAAGCACAGTACCTGGATCCTGATTTACCCAATGTTCCCATCTGTAGCATCAGCCTTCCTGCTGATGGTGTGGTTACTCGGCCCAGAGTTGAAGTTTGCACTTGGGTTCCACAGAACAACAACAACAAAAATCCCCTGTGCCAATGGCACACACTTGCTCTATCACAGGGATATAAGCCCAGTGTCTTACATGTAATTAGCCTGCTGGCATAGCATATGTGAAGCCAGAATGAACCTATACTTTGCATCACCAATGGGTGATGCAATTTGGGGTTGGAAAGTGTCTCCCTAGAGATAACATGAAAATAATTTGTTCTTTCCATCTTTTTCTATGTATCAGCTACACTCTGCTTTGCTGCATCATATTTCTGTTCTATGTTTGGCATGTTTTACAGGTTACTTGTATACATATTTAATACATTTATGAATTCTGCCCATGTCTAATTGCTACTTAGTTATACATTAACTATATTTAAAACATCCTCTAAGTTTTGCCTCTGATATACATGTTATTTGCATACTTACTATCAGATTAGTATTTCTTATGTGCTTTATCCATTCTGTTCATTGTTTGCATTGCTTTTTAAAATTTTTATGCTAGCATCAGTTTCAAACAGTATAGTAAATACAATACATTAAATCATGTGTGCACACACATATACATTACCATAAAATTAAATTGATTTTAATCAGCTTAACAATAACCCACAACCTTCGGACCAACTTAAATTGATTTTAAAATAGCCTGGTGCTGAGGTCCATATCTCATTTCAAAGTGTCAAGTTAACTTTTGAGAAATTAAAACAGATGATCATTTACTTAGAGTCAGTAATTCCTAATTAAAGTGTAAGAACTTATCATAATAATTTTTATTGGATAGAGAAGTACATTTAGTTACTTAATACATTTATGTTTTTCTCTCCCTGCTATATATTGCCAAGCCACTTTGATATTTTATCTATAAAATATGTAAGACTATATACCATATACAGAATTGATGTGTGTGGCATGAACTTGAACATCTATTCTTGTGACTGAGAGAAAATAACAGCCCATTTATTTACTGCCAAGACATAAGTACATATTTAATTTGTTTAGTAAATAAAAATGTGAGTGAATGAAAGGATGAATCATAGAGCTAGCAGTGAGTTCTTTAGCACAATACTTGCAAAGTACTTGTAATTAAGTTATCCTAAAGTAATAATAACTCTTCTACTTAACTGCTTACAGGGTGACTGAATCAAGCCATTTAAATCTCTTCAGTTCCTTTGACTCTTATTTGCAATGCCATTGTAAAGACTAAGACAGTACATGTGCAAATTATATTTGTTATACAAAATAAAAGATGCAGGACTTGCTCTTAGGCAAAATTTGATTAACAATGGCCTTCAATTCTATTATTGCTATACATGTAATTCTGTGTTTCTTCATTTGACTTTTCTTCAGAACTGAAGTTGATAGGTCACCTTAGTTGCCTTACCATGTAAACCAATTGTTGTGGTTAACATTGTCAAAGATTATTAAAAACATTTGTTTTTAATATATCTCATGGCTGAAAGTATAAAATTTTAAGGATAAGATATCTAGGATCCACTGGATTTGCAACTGCCATCCTAGCTAATAAAAGAAAAACATGCAATTTGCCTGTACCTCCGCAATGCCCACAAGCCATGCCCACCAGCCAATCAGGAGTTACCATGCAAATTAACCTAACAAATATGGCAGCAGCCACAGAGCTGGAGCAAGCAGGAGGCTTGGGTTGCCCCAGCTATGGAGGTAGCCAAGTTTCCAGCCCACCCTGACCTGACCTGGCCTCCACTCAAGGCTACAAAATTTCAATTATAGAAGATAAATAAATCCCAGATAAATAAATCCACTTGGGTTGCCATGGGCATGACCAGTCTGAAAACCACCACAGGCCCCTCACCTAGGCCACCCCACACCCCAAGGGAACCTCCACCCTGATCCTGGACATCCTTCAGGGAAACCAGCCAGCCCCCACACATGTACCAGACCTCTATCCTATCTAATAAAAGAGTAATATGCTGACCATCACTTTAACACATGAGATGGTTGTCCCATGTTGTCAAAGATAGCTGCCTCCATGTGGACACAGATGGCCACCACAAGATGGCCAGCAGGAAAGGGCAGTTGGGGTGATCAAATCTCAGGGGAGGGAAGTTAAGGATGACCAGGCCAGCAGAGGAAGGAAGTTGGGGGCAACTGGGCCTCAGGGAAGGGCAGTTGGAGAGGACCCAGGCCTGCAGGGGAGAGCAGTTATGGGGGACCAAGCCTGCAGGTGAGGGCCATTGGGGGACCAGGCCTGCAGGGAAGGGCTGTTAGGGGCAATCAAGCTGGCAGGGAAGCAGTTAGGCATCAATCAGGCTGGTAGAGGAGTGGTTAGGTGGTGATCAGGCTGGTAGGAAGAAGCAGTTAGGGGCAATCAGGAATGCAGGCAGGCGAGCAGTTGGGAGCCAGCAGTCCTGGATTGTGAGAGAGATGTCTGACTGCCCAGAAGTATGGGACCTAAATGGGCACTCAGACATCCCTCAAGGGGTCCCAAATTGGAGAGGGTGCAGGCTGGGCTAAGGGACACACACCCCATGCATGAATTTCATGCACTGGGCTGCCTCTAGTTAGTAATAATCATTGTTATTTTCTTACACTATAATAATAATTATTACTATTACTACTATTATTGTTATTATTAGAAACTTTTCCACAGCCAAAAAACAATTAAATATTTTGACATATTCCTAGCACCTGCATGTCCTTAGACATATTTTTTTTCCTTTGACTAACTTCTTTCTATTTCTGAATATTTTCACAAATACTTTATTGCCTAACTCAGCTTAGCCCCTTTGAAACCTAAAACATAAAATCCAAAATATTACCTTTTTACTATACTGCTATCTCCAGCACCTCTTTTTTCCACTTTACTCTAGAAGGCAAAAGCAATTTTGCAGAGGGCAACCCAATTTGGTCTTTAACTTTCTAGAGTTGGATGTATCCCACTTACCTTCAGCATTCTG